ATTACAGGCATGCACCACTACACCCGGCTAATTTTTGTACTTTTAGTAGAGATGGGGTTTCACTATGTTGGCCAGGCTGGTCTCGAACTCTTGACCTCAAGTGATCCATCCACCTTGTTGGATCCCAAAGTGCTGGGATTACAGGAATGAGCCACTGCGCTTGGCCTCCCTTCATTCTAATTCAGGAAAAGTTTGAGAATCAATGCGGTAACAATTAGGCCATCTGTCTCCGCTTTGCATCCTGGCTTTGCCATTTGCTTGCTTCCTAATTTGGGGCTAGTGATTTTTAGTTTTCTGTCTGAGCCTCAGGGTTCTCATCTGGAAAATGGGGACAATAATATATACCATAGCCAGACCCCATGGCTCACACCTGTAATCCCTTCGCTTTGGGAGGCTGAAGCAGGAGGACTGCTTGAGGCCAGGTGTTCAAGAACAGCCTGGGCAACATAGGCAGACCTCGTCTTTACAAAAAATGTTAAACTTTAGCTGGGCATGGCAATGTGCACCTGTAGTCCCAGCTACTCGGGAGGCTGAGGTGGGAAGATCACTTGAAACCACGAGTTGGAGGCTGCAGTGAGCTGTGATCTTGCCACTGTACTCCACCCTGGGCAACAGAGCAAGACCCCGTGTCTACGAAAATATATATATTTTAAATTAGCTGGGCATGGTGGCATGAGCCTGCAGTCATAGCTTCTCAGAAAGCTGAATGGAGAGGATCACTCAGCCTAAGAGTCTGAGGCTGCAGTGAGCTATGATCGTACCACTACACTCCACCCCGGGAGACAGAGTGAGACCCAGTCTCTTAAAAAAATTTTTTTTCAAGGGACCCGTGCAAGTATCTCTCTGACCTCATCTCCTCCCTGTTTTCCCCTCCCCATTGCGGCCACCATCCTGCTCTGTCTCCTGTGCTGGTCCTCAACACCCCAGCACCCACCAGCCAGAGGCCTTGGCCCAGACTCCCTCCTCTTCCCCCAGAGATGAGCAGGCCTGATTCCTTCTTGTTATTTGGACAAGGCTCAACTCAAATGTCACCTCCTTGGAGAGGCTGTCACTTCACTCCCTCACTGATCTCATCCCCATCCCAAAAGCCACTCTCTTACATCAGCCTGGGTTATTTTTTCCAAAACACCTATCACTGACATTAACACTACATATTAATTCACCTGTTTATTGCCTGTCTCCATCATGAGGATTTAAGCTCCCTGGGGGCAGTGATTTTTTTTTTTTTTTCTTTTGAGACACGGTCTCAATCTGTCTCAGGGGCCCCAGGGAGGTGGGGCTTGATCATGACTCACTGCAGCCTAGATTTCCCGGACTTGGCAGTCCTCCCACCTCAGCCTCCCGAGTAGCAGGGACTACAGGAGTGTACCACCATGCCCGGCTAATTTTTAATTTTTAACTTTTGTAGAGATGGAGGTCTCATTATGTTGCCCAGGCTGGTCTTGGACTCCTGGGCTCAAGCAATCCTTCCGCCTCAGCCTCCCAAACTGTTGAGATTTACAGGTGCGAACCACCGCGTCCAACCAGGGCAGGGATCTTGATCTTCATTTACTTTATTCACTGCTCTGTATTCAGTGCCTAGAACAGCACCTGGCCCATGGCAGAGGCTCAATCAGGGTCTGTTAAATGAGTGTAAGACCCACAGCATAAGGCCTGGGAGCCGGTAAAGTGCTTAATAAATACAGGCTATACCATTACTATGTTTTTTTGTTTTGTTTTGTTTTGTTGTTGTTGTTGTTGTTGTTGTTTTTGAGATGGAGTTTTGCCCAGGCTGGAGTTTTGCTCTTGTTTCCCAGCTGGAGTGCAGTGGCGTGATCTCGGCTCACTGCAATCTCCACCTCCCAGGCTCAAGCGATTCTCCTGCCTCAGCCTCCCGAGTAGCTGGGATTACAGGCATACGCCACCACGCCTGGCTAATTTTTTGTATTTTTAGTAGAGACAGGGTTTCTCCATGTTGGTCAGGCTGGTCTCGAACTTCTGACCTCAGATGATCCACCCACCTCGGCCTTCCAAAGTGCTGGGATTACAGGCGTGAACCACTGTGCCCAGGTATTTTTGGTTTTGTTTGTTTGTTTTTGAGATGGAGTCTCGCTCTGTCGCCTAGGCTGAAGTGCAATGGCTTGATCTCAGCTCCCTGCAACCTCTGCCTCCTGGGTTCAAGCGATTCTCCTGGCTCAGACTCCCGAGTAGCTGGAACTACAGGCGTGCACCACCGCACCACGCTACTTTTTGTATTTTTTTTGTAGAGACGGGGTTTCACCGTGTTGGCCAGGCTGGTCTTGAACTCCTGACCTCAAGTGATCCACCTCCTCAGCCTCCCAAAGTGCTGGGATTGCAGGTGGGAACTACCACGCCTGGACTCAATACTGTCCTTTATGATACTTCCAGGATCCAACCCAGGCTCTCACGTTGCATTCAGGTGCCATTAGAAAGCAGTCTATAAATAAGATAAACTAGCAGTCTATTATTAAAACAACACGCAAAAGAGAGAATTTAGAGAAAGATGAGCTTAAAAAGCAATTTAACTTGAGCAATTTTACACCTTCCAGTGGATCACTTTGCAGACCCCACTTGGGAGGCCTCTGGAGCCAGTTGGACACAGGTTCAAATCCCGGCTCCTCCTGTTACCAACTGTGTTGGCCTTGGTCCATCCATGTCCCACTTTGAGCCTCAGTTTCCCCATTTTAAAATGGGGATAGGCCAGGCACAACAGCTCATGCCTGTAGTCCCAGCTACTCAGGAGGCTGAGGCAACAGGATTGCTTGAGCCCAGGAGGTCAAGGTTGCAGTGAGCTATAATTTACACCACTTCACTCCAGCCTGGGTGACACAGCAAGACCCTGTCTCTAAAAATAAAAATAAATGGGATGATTACTTGAGGTCAGGAGTTCAAGAGCAGCCTGGCCAACATGGTGAAACCCTGTCTCTACTAAAAATATAAAAATTAGCCAGGCGTGGTGGTGCACACTTGTAATTTCAGCTATTTGGGAGGCTGAGGCAGGAGAATCGCTTGAACCCAGGAGGTGGAGGCTGCAGCAAGCTGAGATTGCACCACTGTGCTCCAGCCTGGGCAACAGAGACTGTTTCAAATAAATAAATAAATAAATAATAAAAAATAAAATAAATGGGATGACACTGGCTTGTATCTCAAGGAGTTGTCAGGGGCAGGTAGAGGGCTTGGGTGGGTGGATCTTGTTCATCACTGTCTTTTTCATAAGGACAAGGGTGGGAGGAGCGGCCCGTGGTCTGCAGTGTCTGTGGTATCCGGGCCAGGCGCCCCTGGAGACCCTGCCCCTCGGTTCCGCAGGATGATGAGGTGGTCCTGCAGTGCAGCGCCACCGTGCTCAAGGAGCAGCTCAAGCTCTGCCTGGCCGCCGAGGGTTTCGGTAACCGCCTGTGCTTCCTGGAGCCCACCAGCAACGCCCAGGTCTGTGCAGGAGGGAGAGGGGCCTGGGGACACGGGGGTCTGAAGGGACAGAGAATCTGGGGTCCAAAGAAGAGGGTTCTGGGAGTCTGAAAGGAGGTGCTGACAGGAGAGAAAGTGAGGAGGGAGGCTAAGAGGGGCTACCTGAGGTGGGGAGGGGTGGGGGTTCTGGGGTGTTGGAGGGGATCCCTGTGTGCACAGAGGTGTGGTAGGCCAGGGCGGGGGCTGCTGATCCAGAACGTTCTTTGGCAGGTGGTTGAGTGGGTAGAAAGCCTCGAGTTTAAGGGGAGGTGGCCTGAGAGTCCAGAAGAAGGGCTGGTTGGGGAACAGGGGCCTCAGGAGGGAGGAGCAGGGAAACTGAGGGACGGGTGGGGAGGTGGGGAGCGGGGGCGGGGCGGGACGAGGCAAAGGACCTGGACAAGGAGGAGGGGTCTGCGATGTTTTATTTTTTATTTTTAAATTTTTTTCAAGTAACAAGACTGAATCATTACAGGGTATTTTAGGGGGAAGGGGGCCCTCGGTGGGGACAGGGGAGGATGGGACAGGGCCTGAGATGCGGAGGGTGTAGGGCATCTGACGGGGGTGGGGGCTTGAGGGTCTTAGATAGTGGGGTCTGAGGGAAGGTGATTCCTGAGTCCAAGCCCAGGAATTCTGAGGGTGGGGACAGCTGGAGTCTGAGAGGGCAGGGGATCAAGGGGCCGAGGACCTTAGATCCAAGGCAAAGGGGCCTGGAGGGTCAGGGGACACCCGCAGGGGGCTGACTGGGGAGATTGGGGGCTGACAGGTAGAAGGAGCCTGGGGTCTGAAAGGAGGAGACCTGGGGGAGGGGCAGGGGCTGGCAGACCACAGGATGTGGAATCTGATGCAGGGGAAGTTTCAGAGTCTGAGCGAGTGGGGTCGGAGGAGCAGAGTCTTGAGTTTAGGAGTCGGAGGGTGGGGGACTGAACTGAGGAGGGAGTATAAGATTGGGCGCCCTTCTGTGTCTGTGAAGCAGAGTTCAGAGGTGTTTGAGGGAAAAGGCAGGAGCGAGGACTGTCTGATGGTGGAGACAGGAGGTGGGGCTTCCTTGGGGTTGGAGGGATGTGGGGTCATCTGCAGAGGAGGACACAGAACAGGAGATTCCTGTCCTTGGAGCAGGGTCAGTGTGTCTCAGGGCAGAGGTATGGGGCTGAGGCTTCCTATGAGATCAGGTGGGACATGGGTTAGTGGGGAGGGTTAGGGTTAGGAAAGCTTCTAAGAAGTCTGGGCAGGGCTGAAGTGTTTGAGGGAGGAGGCACAGAAGAGTGTTTTCATGATGTTGGTCTAGATTCAGGGGTGGCAGAGGGCAGGGCCTTCCTGTGGGGTGGGAGTGGGGTCTGGTGTATCAGGAATGTGGGTATTCAGACTAGGGGAGGGAGTGTGGCAGAGAATGGTGCTTGGGGGGTCTTCCGGCCCCTCCCTCACATCCCCCCTCCCACTCCAGAATGTGCCCCCTGATCTGGCCATCTGTTGCTTCGTCCTGGAGCAGTCCCTGTCCGTGCGAGCCCTGCAGGAGATGCTGGCCAACACGGTGGAGGCCGGCGTGGAGGTGAGGACCCCACCTGGGGGTGGGCGGGGTGGCAGGGATGGGCGAGAGGACCTGGGGGTCGTTTAGGGCACGGTGGCAAGGATGAGTGAGAGGATCCGGGGGTCGCTTACCATCTGCTCTTCTTCCTGTCTCTGCCCTGCCCCCCACAGGCCCTCAATTTGGATAAGTGGGTAGGTCTGGCCTTGGATGTCATCTGTCCTTCCACCCCTCCTGACCCCAGGCAGGCCCGTCTCTTGGGCCCACGCCCTGCACACAGGGACTGGAGGGTCCTCCCCCACCCCAGTTGTCGGGGGCTGTGGAGCCCAGAACAGGCCAGACAGGAAGGAAGAAAGGAAGGAAGGGGATGGGGGCTTCTGAGCCCCTGTCCCCGACGCCTGCTCCTTTCTCCTCGTTCCAGTCCTTTCCCCCAACCCTGATCCCAGCTCGTCTCTGCATGGGACCTCTCCTCAACCTCCCCTATCCCCAGCGTGAGTCCCTCTGGTCCAGGAGTGGGTCCACCATGTGATCACTTGGCCCCATCACATGGTGCCCCCATGGCGCGCTCGGAGCGTGGGCATGTGACAGCCATGATGGGAGGCATGGTGACATCGAGCAGTCAGATGTCCGCCCCAAGGCCCGGGTTGGGGACCTTGTGCTGGGGAGGGGCGGCTGTCTTAGCACTGTGGGTGATGTTCACCTATGGAACAACTGCTAGGCCTGTCCCGGAGCACACGGGCTGCAGCTCAGCGTGTTGCGGGAGGTCAGAACAGAAGGGCCGAAGTCCACAGGACATGAGACCTTGGGGCTGTCCTCAGGGTCTCCAGGAAACTAGAAGACTCCTGAGTGAGTCTTCCTGAGTGATTTCCAGCCAAGGTGAAGGCAGCAGAGAGGACAGAGTGGGCCTTGGGGAATATAAAATGCTTCATCCATAGGCATCTCAGAGACATTGTCCCCGCTTCCATAAATGCGGAAACTGAAGCAGGGAGTCTTGTGAGAGTCTGAGTTGAGGCTGTTTTACCTCCAGGCCTGAGCATGGCGTTTCACAGGGAGCATCTTGTCACCTGTGACTAGGTCGAACTTCTTGGGGATCTGGAGAGTCTGGGGGTCTGTACTTATTCTGTTCCTTCCCTCCCCCTGCAGTCATCCCAGGGCGGGGGACACAGGACGCTCCTGTATGGCCATGCCATCTTACTCCGGCACGCACACAGCCGCATGGTGAGTGCAACCTCGGTGGGCTTGGGCAGGGGCCAGGACTTGCAGGGCCTGCTAGAAAGAGACTGACCTCCATCTACAACCCTAGTATCTGAGCTGCCTCACCACCTCCCGCTCCATGACTGACAAGCTGGCCTTCGATGTGGGACTGCAGGAGGATGCAATAGGTACAGCGGCTGGAGGGGGTGGGGGTGTGAAGGGGACCCCGCAGCAGGGATTCAGGGGGTAGAAGGTCTGCAGAACGCCGAGGCAAGCATGAGACCACCCTGGGGACATGAATGGGGGCTTCGTAGCAGAGAGTCTGCAACACAGTCCAGACAGGGAGACTTACATACACATTGGGGAGCGCTAGGCAGAGTCTGAAGTCAGGAACGGGGAATGTTGGGCAGAGAGTTGGTGGCAGTGATAGAGTTGTGGGCTAAGGGCCCGGGAGGCTCGGTGGCTGGGAGAGCCCTGGGGAAGAGCATTCTGAGAAGCCATCATTCTGACAACCACCCCCATTCCCTCCCCACCCGTAGGAGAGGCTTGCTGGTGGACCACGCACCCAGCCTCCAAGCAGAGGTCTGAAGGAGAAAAGGTCCGTGTTGGGGATGACATCATCCTTGTCAGTGTCTCTTCTGAACGCTACCTGGTGAGCCATTGCGGTTCCTCCTGCTCCCAGGTCTGGGGGCACATGGGATGGTCCCTCATCTTCTCACCATGGGTTTGCCTGGCTGATCTCCCACCCCCAAGGTCCTGACTCACAATTTCCCGTTTCCTGACCCCTGGCATCCAGTTTTCTGATTTCTGACCTCCCATTGCCCAACTTGATCATTTCCTGATCTGTGATCTCTGATGACTCTGTCGCCCATCTCGTTTCCGGGTATCCACCCTTGATTTCTGGCCTCTGACGCTGGGACTCTCGCCTACTCCTGCAATCGTCTCTGACTGCCGCATCCTGGTGGCCCCCAGCACCTGTCGACTGCCAGCGGGGAGCTCCAGGTTGACGCTTCCTTCATGCAGACGCTGTGGAACATGAACCCCATCTGCTCCCGCTGCGAAGAGGGTGAGGTCTCCAGACCTCCCGCCCCTAAACGGAGACCCCCCCAAAACAGACCCTTAGTGTTGCCCTTCAGGCATACCCAAATGGAACCTTGGAACCTAACCCCAAACCCAGATCTCCAAATTATGGCTCTCACACTTAGATCTCCAGCTGACCCCAAATCCAGACCCCCAGAGCTCAGACCCCCCCAAACCCCAAACTAAACATCAGGCTCCCAAACTTAGACCCCAAAGTATTAGCCCCCAAGGCTCCTAAACTCAGGTTCAAATCTTAAAACATCAAGTTTAAAGCTTGTGGCCGGGGCCAGGCTGGTGGCTCACACCTGTAATCCCAGCACTTTGAGAGGCTGAGACGGGTGGATCATGAGGTCAGGAGATCAAGACCATCCTGGCTAACACAGTGAAACCCTGTCTCTACTAAAAATACAAAAAATTAGCCGGGCGTGGTGGCGGGCGCCTGTAGTCCCAGCTACTCGGGAGGCCGAGGCAGGAGAATGGCGTGAACCTGGGAGGCGGAGCTTGTAGTGAGCCGAGATCACGCCACAGCACTCCAACCTGGGCAACAGGGCAAGACTCCATCTCAAAAAAAAAAAAAACAAAAAAAACTTGTGACCAAGCATGGTGGCTCACACATGTAATCTCAGCACTTTGGGAGGCCGAGGCAGGTGGATCACCTGAGATCAGGAGTTCGAGACCACCCTGGGCCAACATGGCAAAACCCCATCTCTACTAAAAATACAAAAGTTGGCTGGGCATGGTGGCAGGTGGCTGTAGCTCCAGCTACTTGGGAGGCTGAGGCAGGAGAATTACTTGAACCTGGGAGGCAGAGGTTGCAGTGAGCCAAGATTGCGCCAGTGCACTGCAGCCTGGGCAACAGAGCAAAACTCTGTCTTAAAAACAAAACTAAACAAAATGAAACAAAAAACCCTCAAAATTCAGGCCCTACTCCAGAACCCAGCCTCAGACCCAACCATCATCCTTCTAAACCCAGACATCAAACCTCAACCCTAGAACGTAGACTCCAATACCAGCGAACATTAGACCTCCACCTTTGACCACACACGCACTCTGACCCCAACCTCAAAAGTCTAAACTCAGAACCTTAAATCACAGACCTACAACTCCCCCAACCTCAGCTCTGCAGACCCAGACCCCCCAAATTAGGTGCCCAGCTTCAGACCCCAAGTTTCATATCCCCACTTCAGGCCTCAACCTTGGCCCGAAAATACTCTGAATCTCAGACCTCCAACTGCAAAACCCCAAACCCAGCCCTCAGTTTCCCCCAGGGGAGGAGCCGGGCCCCTGACTTCATCTTGGCTCCTGGGGCTCCAGCCTCCCATTGACCACCTTCCCTTGCTCCTCTCCAGGCTTCGTGACAGGAGGTCACGTCCTCCGCCTCTTTCATGGACATATGGATGAGTGTCTGACCATTTCCCCTGCTGACAGTGACGACCAGCGCAGGTCTGGCCTGCAGACAAGACAGCCTGGGGTCTAGGGGCGGAGGTGGAGGGCTGGGACCCTATGAGCAGGATTAGAAACCAGATTCTGGGGAGCTGAACCCTTGACTTCACTCTCTCCTCTGTCCCCAGACTTGTCTACTATGAGGGGGGAGCTGTGTGCACCCACGCCCGCTCCCTCTGGAGGCTGGAGCCCCTGAGAATCAGGTAGGGTGGGGAAGGTGGGGAGAGGCCAGGGATGGGGAAGGTGGGGTCTCCTGGCAGCCTGCGGGGAGAGAAAAGGTCTTGAGGGGAGATCTGATAAAGATAAAGAGACTGAAAGGTCTCGAGGGAAAATCAGAGCAGCCTGAGAGAGAGATGAGAATCTTGGCCAGGCGTGGTCACTTCATGCCTGTAATCTCGGCACTTTGGGAGGCTGAGGCGAGGGGATCACTGGAGGCCAGAAGTTCAAAACCAGCCTGGGCAACATCATGACACCCTGATCTCTGCAAAAAGAAAGAAAGAAAGAGAGAGAGAGAAAGAGAGAGAAAGAGAGGAAGAAAGGAAGAAAGGAAAGAAAAAGAATTAGCCGGGTGTGGTGATGTGCACCTTTAGTCTCAGCTACTTTGTGGGGCTGAGGTGGGAGGATGACTTGAGCCCAGGGGTCAAGGCTGCAGTGAGCTGAGACCTTGCCACTGTACTCCAGCCTGGGTGACAGAGCAAGTTCCTGTCTCAAACAAACAAACAAACAAAACAAAACCAAAAATAAGCCAAGCACAGTGGCTCACACCTATAATTCCAGCACTTTGGGAGGCCAAGGCAGGTGAATCACTTGAGGTCGGGAGTTCCAGACCAGGCTGACTAACATGGTGAAACCCTGTCTCTACTAAAAATACAAAAATTAGCCTGGTGTGGTGGTGGGCACCTGTAATCCTTGCTACTGGGGAGGCTTAGACAGGAGAATCCCTTGAACCCAGGAGGTGGCGGTTACAGTGAGCTGTGATTGCACCATTGCACTCCAGCCTGGGCGACAGAGCGAGACTCCATCTCAGAAAAATACAAAAACAAAGGCCGAGCGCGATGCCTCACACCTGTAATCCCAGCACTTTGGGAAGCTGAGACGGGTGAATCATTTGAGGTCAGGAGTTCAAGACCAGCCTCGCCAACATGGTAAAACCGTGTCTCCACTAAAAATACAAAAATTAACCAGGCGGTAGTGGTACACACCTGTGATCCCAGCTTCTTGGGAGGCTGAGGCAGAAGAATCACTTGAGCCTGGGAGGCAGAGGTTGCAACGAGGTGAGATCGTGCCACTGCACTCCAGCCTGGGCAACAGAGTGAGATCCTGTCTCAAAAAAAAAAAAAAAAAAAAACCCAAAAACAAGCAAGCAAAACAAAAACAAAAAATGAAGTCTCGCTGGAGTCCTGCGGGAAAAGGAGGTTTGGGGGGTTTTCGAGGGAGAGATTGGGGGTCCGGAGTAAAACAATGGGGGAATTTAGGGGTCTGGAAAAACGAGGGCACTGAAGATATTTGGGAAGCCCTGAGGAAGCTGTGAAGGCCTGAGAGAGGATTGGGGTTCCTAATGGAGGACTAGTTAAGATTTAGGGGCCCTATGAAAGGTTTGAGGAACACTGGAAGAGGGTTCGGGGCTTGAGAAGGTTTGGACCAAGACTGTAATGTCCAGTCCAGGTGCGGTGGCTCACGCCTGTAATCCCAGCACTTTGGGAGGCCGAGGCGGAGGATTGCTTTAGCCCTGAAGTTTGAGATCAGCTTGGGCAATATAGCAAGACCTGGTATCTATAAAAAAAAAAAGAAAAAGAAAAAGAAGAAAAGGCTGTAATGTCCATGGGAGAACTGGGGGGTCCTCTGACTCCCCTGGCCCTCACCCTCCACAGCTGGAGTGGGAGCCACCTACGCTGGGGCCAGCCACTCCGAGTCCGGCATGTCACCACCGGGCGGTACCTGGCACTCTCCGAGGACCAGGGCCTGGTGGTGGTTGATGCCAGCAAGGCCCATACCAAGGCTACGTCCTTCTGCTTCCGCATCTCCAAGGTCAGTGGGGTTTGTGGCGCCCTCCCTCACCTGGAGCCCCTAATCTCAACCCAGCCTGCACTCTGCAGTCCCTCAGGGGGGCCTCCCCCGCTAAACACACAGGCAGAGGAGACTGACCTGTGTCCCCTGCCCCTGCAGGAGAAGCTGGATGTGGCCCCCAAGCGGGATGTGGAAGGCATGGGCCCCCCTGAGATCAAGTACGGGGAGTCACTGTGCTTTGTGCAGCATGTGGCCTCAGGACTGTGGCTCACCTATGCCGCTCCAGACCCCAAGGCCCTGAGGCTCGGCGTGCTCAAGAAGAAGGTGAGTGTAATGCCAGCTACTCAGGAGGCTGAGGTGGGAGAATCACTTGAGCCCAGGAGGTCAAGGCTGCAGTGAGCCGTGATCACACCACTGCACTCCAGCCTGGGTGACAGGCTGAGGGGTGGTGCTTGAGCCTTTGGGAGTTTGAGGATGAGACCGAGAGAAAGACAAAGACTGGGAGAGAAACTGAGACTGAGAGAAATAGCAAAAAAAAGACAAAGGGATATATCTAGAGAGAGAGAGAGAGAGAACAGAAATCTATAGACAGAGATAGGGAAAGGCAGAGATAAAGAGGCATGGGGCCCGGCACGGTGGCTCAAGCCTGTAATCCCAGCACTTTGGGAGGCCGAGACGGGCGGATCACGAGGTCAGGAGATTGAGACGGTCCTGGCTAACACGGTGAAACCCCGTCTCTACTAAAAAATACAAAAAACTAGCCGGGCGAGGTGGCGGGCGCCTGTAGTCCCAGCTACTTGGGAGACTGAGGCAGGAGAATGGCGTAAACCCAGGAGGCGGAGCTTGCAGTGAGCTGAGATCCGGCCACTGCACTCCAGCCTGGGCGACAGAGCGAGACTCCGTCTAAAAAAAAAAAAAGAGGCATGGAAACAGAGAAATAGAGAAAGATAGAGACAGAGAAACAGAGACACGGCTGGGCGCGGTGGCTCACACCTGTAATCCCAGCACGTTGGGAGGCCCAGGCAAGTGAATCACCCAAGGTCAGGAGTTGTCTGAGACTGGCCTGGCCAACATGGTGAAATCCTGTTTCTACTAAAAATACAAAAATTATCCAGGTGTGGTGTCAGGTGAGTGTAATCCCAGCTACTCAGGAGGCTGAGGCAGGAGAATCACTTGAACCCAGGAGGTGGAGGTTGGGAGTGAGCCAAGATTGTGCCATTGCACTCCAGCCTGGCTGACAAGAGTGAAACTCTATCTCAAAAAAACAAAAACAAAAACAAAAAACAGAGACAGAGTGAGAAAAGATGGATAATCACCGACTGTGAATAACGGTCAGCAAACAATTACTGAGTACCCAAGTTTTTCTGGTTGTGTGTATAGAAAATAGACGAAGTGTAAAGACCTGCTCCCTGCCCTCCCCATGCTCAGAAATTGTGAACAAACTGTCTTTAGTGTAGTACATAGTTTTACAATTAAGGAGTGGGAAAACTATTTTTGGCAGAGGGAACAGCATATGCAAAGGTCCTGAGGTTAGCATGAGCTTGGCTTATTGCAGTAGCAGAAAGAAGCCACAGTGTGGCTGGAGCAGGGTGAGCAACAGGTGAGTAGTGGTTGGTGAGAAAAGAGAGGGGATGGGAAAAACTTGTATGAGGCCTTGTGGGCCTTGGGAGAGGTCTAGCTTTGTTTGTTTTTGTGCAGATGAGGTCTCACTATGTTACCCAGGCTGGTCTCAAACTCCTGAGGCTCAAGTGATCCTCCTGCCTCAGCCTCCCAAAGTGCTGAGATTAAAGCATGAGGCACTGCTCCTGGCCAGGTTCCAGTTTTTATCCTGAGTGAGATGGGCTCATGGGAGATTTTGAGCAGGGCAGGGAGGTGACCTGATGCAGGATTACAGAGTTCTTAGGCTGTCTCTGGAAACAGACTATGGTCGGGGGACAAAGCCAGAGCAGGGAGACCACAGAAGAGACTGCTGTGATGTTCCAAATGGGAGATGACAGTGAACAGGACCAGGATGGGGACTGTGGAGTTGAGAAAAGTCATAGATTCTCGTGGGGTTCTGAGGGTAGAGCCAACAGGATTTGCTGGCAGATTGGCTGTGGGGTGAGAGAAGGGGAGGGGTTGAGGTTGATGCCATGATTTTTGCCCCAAGCAACTGGAAGGATGGAAGTGCTGAAACAGCCTCATTATCTGGAGTATCACCCGAGGTTTGTGGTCTCACGGCCACAGAGAACAAGGATGCGGACACACAAAGAGTGAGGTTAAGAGGGGGAAGTTTAATAGGTGAAAGAAGGAGCTCTGTATTGGGGAGAAGTGTCCCAGAAAAATGGGTTGAAATGCAGGGGGTTCCATGGCGAAATGCAGGGGGCTTTACAGATGAGCTGGTGGGGAGGTGGTGTCTGATTTACCTAGGGCGCAAAAGACTGGTTGGACCAGTTGTGCCATTTGCATAGGGCACAAATTTCTGGCTGCCTCCATCCTACGTTTTTATTGTACAAGCAGGTCCTCTGTCCGAGGTGTGCCATGCTGCCCATTCCTTTACTGTACATGTGGCAAAATACATACATACATACATAAATACATAGATAAAGGGAAGAAGGGGCCTCCATGTTGGACATGCCTAGCCCCAGGTGTTCCTTGGCACATTCCCCCATGCAAGCTTCTAGATTGCTTATCTATGTTTGTAGCTCAATTTTTCAGGCTGCTCTTTGTTAGAAAAGAAATGGTTTTGGGGGCTGCTTTTCATTAGAAAGGAAACTCTGCTGAGGACTCTGTTGCCCTTACTCTCTACCTAAATAATTTCTTTCTACCTCTTGTATCAGTGCCATCAACCAAGTTAGGGGACAGTCAGTGTTGGCTCAAAAGGACAGGGATCTTAGGCTTTACTTCCAGTGTCTAGAACAGAGCCACTTACTACAGCCTTGCTGAATGGACAAGTAGGAAGCCTTGGGGAGGCACCCGTTTGCAAAAACAGGCCTGTAGTTGAATACATGAGCCAAGGGCATAGAGACGGGGCCTGGGCCATGTCCAAAGTGGGGACACTTGAGCATCATCAACAGGTGGATGGTATTTACAGCCACAGACTGGATGAGTTCTGGGGAGGTCAGCTCGGGGCGAAGCTGGCAGCCGTGATGGTCTCACCTCGTGGAAAGGTGGTCTGGCATTCTGTCTGCAACATGCTCAGTTTGGGGGCTGTTAGAGCTTTCTGGTCGGGGGAATGTTAAGTCAGCAGTAGGTACAGGTGGAAAGGGTCTGGCCTAGAGACAGAGACAGGAAGGAGATAGGGATAGAGAAATGGAGAAGGAGAGGCAGGGACAGAGGTGAGAGAGAGAGACGGAGAGACAAAGACAGACAAGACCAAAGACGGAGAGACAAAGACAGACAAGACCAAAGACAGAGACAGAGAGACAGAGAGGAGAGAGAGAATCAAAGACACGGAGGAGACAGATGACAGGGGACAGAAAAATGAGAAGGAATTTGCAGTGAGATTCTGCAGAGCAGGGAGGAGGGGGCAAGTGCAGAACTCAAGTCTGGACAGAGGTCTTGGGCGCATGGCCCTAGGCCCACTCCAGATGTCTGTCCGCCCACTCCTAGGCCATGCTGCACCAGGAAGGCCACATGGACGACGCACTGTCACTGACCCGCTGCCAGCAGGAGGAGTCCCAGGCCGCCCGCATGATCCACAGCACCAGTGGCCTGTACAACCAGTTCATCAAGTGAGCGACCTGCCTTCCCTGCCCGGGTGACTCCAGGCATCCATGCACCTGGCCTTTTTCATCTCTACCTCTGATGCCCACACCCTTGTCTAACATATACATGGGCCAAGGGCAGTGGCTCACACCTGTAATCCCAAGACTTTGGGAGGCCAAGGCAGGAGGATCGCTTGAGCCCAGGAGCTTGAGACCAGCCTGGGCAACGTAGGAAGACCCTGCCTCTACCAAAAAAAAAAAAAAGGCCGGGCGCAGTGGCTCAAGCCTGTAATCCCAGCACTTTGGGAGGCCGAGACGGGCG